GAACTCAGGTTCTTGCACTTGCACAGCAGCCGGCGAAACCACTGAGCCAAATCCCCAGCCCAATAGTTTGTGAGTCTTAATAGGGCATCAAAATATAATTTTACCTACTTTCCTGAAACCGAGAGTGAGCCTCGGGACAGAAGTCAGAGTGCTTCACCCATTCCAAATTTAGAAAGTTGCAGGTTGCTAGGGCTGACCAGAGGTGTCACCCTGTAGGCTCTGAGGACAGGCCCTCAGATCCTATCCCTCTGCCCTCCTCTACCTTGAACTTGAGGCCGGGGGGAGAGGACTTTAGGTGAGTGCAATGTTTGTGGTCAAGGGAAAGTAGTTTCCCAAGAGAATCGTGTCATAGCTGGTGAAGGCAGTGCTGTACTGTGTGGTCCCCAAAGAAGGGGCAGAGAATGGGATGTACTATGTGTGCTATGTCACCTTAATGTCATCTGCACCCCACCTAGGGGCCTCAGAGTCAGAGCTGAACCCATAGGTGTAGCCTGGAAACCAGCTTGTGAGGATTGTGTATTATTTATTAGATGCATTTTACAGACAAGGCCACTGCAGTTTGGGTACAATTCATAGCTTGTCTGAGATCACACAAACAAGTGGCAAAGCTGGACTTTGAAGCCAGGCCTGTCTAACTTCATAGTTCTTCCTGCTTTCTTTCTCTCCCCCTGGCCACCTTCATAGGCTCTAGGCATGGTACCTTTGTCAAGAGCTGGGGGAACAGGTGAAGCCTTGCCTGCTGTTGGGGAGCAGGTATGTTCTGTAACCTCCACAACAGCAGCAAGCTATGTGGGCCATCAGAAAAAAAGTTCCTTCACCTATCAAGACTCATGTTCTTGGGCTGGGGGTGCATTGTAGTGATAGGTCTCATGTTGCTTACTTAGCATGTGGGAGGCCGTGAGTTTGATCCTCAGCAATGCTCAAGCCTGGCTCATTTTATATTTTTAATGATTTTCCTGCCTTTTTTTACTTACCTATACCAATGACCAGTTTAAAAAAGATCTCCATTGTAATTGTGTGTGTATAAATGCAAGAACAAGGTTTCAAAGTGTTTGTGGGGGATAAGACTAGAGGAGTAATTTAAACAGAACTCTATGAAGTTTTACTCTGTAATTTAGTCTTACCTGACCCTTTGTGATTATGCATTTACATATAATAAAATGTTTTTTAAAAGCCTAAAGGAACCAGCCAGGCATGATGGTACATACCTATAATCCTAGCACTTGGGAGGCTGAGACAGGAGGATCGCCACAAGTTCAAGACCATCCTGAAGTATGTAACAAGACCCTGTCACACACACAAATATATATATACATATACATATGTATATATATATACATATGTATATGTATATGTATATATACACACATATATATATATGTATATGTATATATATTAAATAAATACCCAATGGGAACCATCCTGGGTTTTTTTTTTAATAAATGCCCTGAAGAAGTCAACAGAAGACTTGTTTGAGGGTCCCAGAAACATCATGCCCTCCTTTTGCATAGGAATGTGAGGAGGAGGAAGCTGCACAAGGGAGTGTTCTTGCCTCATTGTCCCTTTGAATCTAGCATGTCCCTGGACCTCTTGCTACAGCAAACAGTTCTCTTCATCTGCTTCTCCTTGAATGAATGCTTTACAAAGTGTAGTGATCACTTTTAAAGTTTTTGGTTTAATATTCAACCTGAATCAGGGCCAGTCAACTGAAGGTTGGCAGTATTCTCCCCAGCTCTCATTCTTTTTATAAACACGCTGAGAAGGAGCTAGTTCTTTTCACTGAGATAGGATGGGCCTGGGGTTGCTCCAGAAGTTTATGAGCCAAGAGCCCTGAATGAAGGATTTAACTATTGATAACTGGATCATGGAAGACAGACTGTGCGGTGTAACCTGGCCATGGCCAGGGTGTGCAGGTAGGCCTGCTGATGCTGCTTTCAGAACAAGGGAAGAGGGAGCTTTCATTTCTGCCTCTCCTGAGACAAAAGCCCCTCTGGAGACAGACCACCTTAAGGGATTTCCATTCTACCGAGAAAGAAGGTCCTGATCCTGGCAGCAGGCCTGGCCTTGGTATGGCATGGCTTTTGCAGGGGACATAGTATATTTAATATGATTTTAGTGCTTTTGTCATTGTTTTAAGTAATGTTTTCTATGGGGAGGCCCCTGTGAAAACATACTAGAAGATCTGAAAGATTGAAAGCAGGGGCTCAGGTAGTTATATACCTATGTTTATGGCAGCATTATTCACAATAGCAAAGAGGTAGAAGCAACCCATGTCCGTCCATAGATGAACATGTAAACAAATTGTGGTCTAGCCATACCATGGAATGTCACTGAGCCTTAAAAAGGAAAGAAGTGAGCCAGGTGCAGTGGTGCATACTTATAATCTCAGCACTTTGGCAGGCTGAGGCAGGAGGATCACAAGACCAGCCTGGGCAACTTATCAGGACTTTGTCTCAAAAAGGGGCTAGGGACATAGCTCTGTGGCAGAGCACTTGTGGGTTTGAGGCCCAGTAGCTCCCAAAAAACAAAAGCAAAAAAAAAAAAGGAAGGAAATGCTACACATTTCACACACACCTTTAACCCAGAACTCTGGGAGGAGGATCACAAATTTAAGCCGGGTCTAGGCAACAAATAAAAACTAAAAAGGGTTGAGTATTCAGCTTAGTGAAAAGGCCCTGGGTTCAAACTCAAATACTAGAAATAAAAGGAAAAAGGAAGGTTGGGCTGGGGATTTAGCTCCGTGGCACTGTGCCTGCCTTGCAAGCACAAGGTCCTGAGTTCAATCCCCAGTACTTAAAAAAAGAGTCCTTAACGAAGGTATGTGCTACAACATGGGTGAACTTTGAGGACATTGTGCTAAGTGAAATAAGTCACAAAAGGACAAATACCATATGGTTCACACATACAGGGTTGTTAGAGCAGCTAAATTTATGGAGATACTGTAGGATGTTGGGTGCTGAGGAGGAGGTGGAGGTTCATATTTAATGAGTCTAGTTTCAGTTTGGGAAGATGGAACAGTTCTGGAGATTGTTGTTGTAATGGTTGCACAGCAACGTAAAGGTACTTAATATCAATGAATTGGACTCTTAAAAATGGTTGAGTTTTATGTATATTTTATACACATACACAAAACAACATCAGCTGGGCATGGTGGTACACACCTGTAATCGTGGTGCTCAGGAGGCTGAGACAGGAGGATTACAAGCTCAAGGCCAACCTATACTACATAGTGAGATCCTATCTCAAAACTGAACAAAACACAACATCAAGGTGCTTTTGTAAAACATTAGATTTTATGAAATAGATCAAAGATCTAAACATTAAAACAGATACAGTAAATCTGCTAGAAAGAATAGGTAGAACGATTTGAGGATATAGGATTAGGCAAAGACTTCATGAATAAAACCCAGACTGCATGGGAAATACTACAAAGAATCAACAACTGGGACCTCATCTTATTAAAAAGCTTTTGTATAGCAAGAGAAACCACCAAGAGTGATGAGAAAACCCACAGTGTGGGAAAAATTTTTACCAGCTAGTCATCAGACAAAGGTCTACTATCTAGAATATATAAAGTACTTGGGCTGGGGATTTAGCTCAGTGACATTGCACCTTCCTTGCAAGCACAAGGTCTTGAGTTTGATCCCCAGTACCAAAAAAAAAAAAAACTTAAAAAAAACAACGCCCCCCCCCCCAATTTAAAGACCCAGTCCAAAAATGGACATCTGAAATGAAAGGGCACTTCTCAGATGAAATAGAAATAGCAAATAAATATATGAAAAAATACTCAATATCACTGGTAATTTGAGAAATGGAAATTAAAATAACACTGAGATTCCATCTCACTTCAGAAAGAATGGCTGCTATCAAGAAATCAACCAATAACAGGCTCGAGGGTTTAGCTCAGTGGTGCCACCACCTGCCATGCAAGCACAAGGTCCCGAGTTCCATCACCGGTACAGAAAAAAAAAAAAGAAAAGAAAAAAAAAAATCAACCAATAACAAATGCTGGAGGGGCTGTGGGGAAAAAGGTACACTTCTCCACTGTTGGTGGGAGTATAGATTGGTGCAACCACTGTGGAAATCAGTGTGGATATTCCTCAAAACACTAAAACTAGAGGTTCCACTTGACCCAGGTATTCTCCTTCTTGGTATCTTCCAGAAAGAATTAAAAGCATCATACCTCAGCGATTTATGCACACCCATGTTTATAGCAGCACAGTTTGTAATAGCTAAATCTTACAAACAGCCCAAATGCCCATCAACCAATGAATGGATAAAGAAGATGTGATTTTTTAATATAATGGAGTACTACTCTGCCATAAGAAGGATGAGCTTGGGCCGGGGATTTAGCTCAGTGGTTCTGCAGCCTGCCTCAGAAGTGCAAGGACCAGACTTCGATCCCCGGTACCAAAAAAAAAGAAGGATGAGCTTCAAACATTTATAGCTAAATGGTTGGACCTTGAGACCATACTCTTAAGTGAAATAAATCAGACGCACATGTTTAATTAAATACCATATTGCTTCTCTGGTGTGAGAAACTGAAAGGGGAAAAAAGGACTCAAATGTGTAATAGATTTTGGGAAATGGGAAGAAAATGTTCAAATGGGAAGGGAAATGAGGGAAGGAGAAAGGAAGGAAGGGACAAGAAAAAAATAGAAGGGAAAAAATGGAAACAAAGCATTTGTACATAGGGGAGTGTGCTTGAGGAAAAGGAGGAAATGAGAAAAAAGAGGTGGGATAGGCCCAGGGATTTAGCTCAGTGGTTTGGCCACCTGCTGTGCAAGTGCAAGGACCCGAGGTCAATCCGTGGTACCAAAAAAAAAAAAAAGAGGTGGGATGTATCATGTACAGGTGCAAATTCCCTATGATGAGTGTCATCGTTGTGCATGGCTAAAATGTACCAAAAAATGTTTTGCTATAAAAAACTAGACTTTACATTATAATTCTTTACTTTTCACTCATTGTTTTAATAAAGTGTTTCCTTTTTCTATTTTTAGATGAGTGTTCTAGATGCAAGAGAGACTGGAATGGTGTGCTCACTTACCAAAACCCACCGAAGCTGACCCTGTGACCTGGGCACTTGCACTATTACAGGTGGAAAGGTTAGTCTGATATATGTGGGTGAATATTAAGCTTGTGTGCCCAAGACTACCGTTTGGCAAAGGCAGGAGTAAGTTGTGGAATCCAAAGCAGCAAACTTGGCATTATAGTGCCCTGCTCAGAGTCTCAAATAGCACATCTTACCTGTTTCTTTTTTTTTTCGGGGGGGGGGGGGTTGTTTTTTTGGTACCGGGGATCCAACTCGGGACCCTGTGCTTGCGTGGCAGGCGCCAGAACCACTGCGCTAAATCCCCGGCCCTACCTGTTTCTTTTGTATGTACCTGAGTCACAACAGTTGTTACTGTGGTGAGCCAGCACCAAATCCCCCAAGACTTCTGTCTCATTTGGACTCAAAAATGTCTAATTTTTATCTTTTGGTACTGAGGATTGAACCTAGGGGCACTCTACCACTGGGCAACATCCTCAGATGTTTTTTTTTTTTGACACAGGGTCTTGCTAAGTTACCCAGGTTGGTTTTAAGCTTATAATCTTCCTGCCTCTGCCTTTCAAGTAGCTAGGATTACAAGCATGTACTACCACACTTGGCTTAGAAACGTCTAATTTTGAAACTGTGGCACCTTCCACTTGATTCTCAGCCCTCTGTTTAGTGATTCACTTGAAGTTACCTTCCTAGAACTTAGCTTCCAAGCTGGCCATTTAAGAAGGTTAAATGGTGGGTTCAGAATCCCAGCTTGGGCATGGTGGAACAGAGAAGTGTGACTCTTCAGTTCACAGCTGGGTGAAGGCCTAATACCTCAGGGGGCTGAAAGGAGGTATTGGTCAGTGGGCTCCTCTTAATCCTGGCTTCTTCCCCAAAACGCCCAGGTTACAGGGTGGTCATTAGGATCCAGAGGGGACCTCCCTGAGTTGAGTACTGTTTGCAGCAGAGTCAGGTTATTGAAGTGCTTCTGGGAACCTTCCCCTTAGCTTTTCAGTACTCGGAAACCATGTAACCTGTTCAGTAATACATGAACTCTGTGAAAATAAGTTACTCTCTGAAGTTCTTAATAACTTCTCAGAACAACCTCGTATCTTAAATGGAAGCCCTTCTAGTACTTTTTTTGTTTTTTTCAGTACTGAAAGTTGAACTCAAGGCCTTCACACTGAGCCACACTGAGTGCTTTTTATTTTTTATTTTGAGACAGGTTCTCACTAAATTGCTAAGTTAACCAGGCTGAGCTCAAACTTGGAATATTGGTGCCTTATCCTTCCAGAGTGCTGGGATTACAGGTGTGTGCCATCATGTAGTACTTTTATATAAAGATGAAAACAGGCCAGGGATTTAGCTCAGTGGTTTCACCGCCTGCTGTGCAAGTGCAAGGACCCAAGTTCGATCCCCGGTACCAAAAAAAAAAAAAAAAGATGAAAACAAACAAAAAAGTTCTTCAGAATGTGCACCTTCAAGCGGGGCATGGAGGTGCATGCCTGTAATTCCAGCATTTTGGAGGTTGAGGGAGGAGGATTGCTGTGAATTTGAGGCCAGCCTGGGCTACATAGTGAGTTCAAGGCCAGCCTGAATGACATAGCAAAACCATGACTCAAAAAAAAAAATTCACCTTCAAACATACAAATGAAAAATGGTTTTTAATCCTACAGGGTGTAAAATGGCAGTCAGGTTAGCAGAAAAACCCTGGAGAGGGGGCTGAAGGATTTAGCTGCTCTTTGCTCCCAACCTGGCAGTCCAGAGTCTCCTCCCAGGCACACCAGGCACCATGGACTCCCTAGGGTACAACTGCTTTGTAGACAAAGACAAGATGGATGCTGCCATCCAGGATCTAGGACCAAAGGAGCTGAACTGGACTGAGCTGCAGGAGCTGAAACAGCTGGCCCGAGAGGGATTCTGGGCTCAGAGCCACACCTTGCGGAGAAAGGTATACCAGCGCCTGATCCGGGACATCCCCTGCCGCACAGTCACACCAGATGCTAGTGTGTACAGTGACATTGTGGGCAAGATTGTAGGCAAGCACAGCAGCAGCAGCCTGCCTCTTCCAGAGTTTGTGGACAACACTCAGGTGCCGAACTACTGCCTGAATGCCCGGGGTGAGGGGGCTGTGCGCAAGATCCTCCTGTGCATTGCCAACCAGTTCCCTGACATCTCCTTCTGCCCTGCGCTGCCAGCTGTGGTGGCCCTGCTGCTTCACTATAGCATCGATGAGGCTGAGTGCTTTGAGAAGGCCTGCCGCATCCTGGCCTGCAATGACCCCAGCAAGAAGCTCATCGACCAGAGCTTTCTGGCCTTTGAGTCATCCTGCATGACGTTTGGAGACCTGGTGAACAAGTATTGCCAGGCAGCCCACAAGCTGATGGTGGCTGTGTCAGAGGATGTGCTGCAAGTCTACTCTGACTGGCAGCGCTGGCTTTTTGGAGAGCTACCCCTCAACTACTTTGCCCGTGTCTTCGATGTCTTCCTTGTGGAAGGCTACAAGGTATTATACCGTGTTGCCCTGGCCATCCTCAAATTCTTCCACAAGGTGAGAGCAGGGCAGCCCCTTGAATCAGACAATGTGAAGCAGGACATCCGCATGTTTGTCAAAGACATTGCCAAGACAGTATCCCCTGAGAAGCTGCTAGAAAAAGCATTTGCCATCCGCCTCTTCTCCCGCAAGGAGATCCACCTCCTGCAGATGGCTAATGAGAAAGCACTGAAGCAGAAGGGCATCACTGTCAAGCAGAAGAGGTAGGCAAGGCCACTTTCATGCATGTGTATGTCCTGAGGCTAAGAAGGGTTTGCACAAGAGTACAGGGTTTTGGTGGAATGGATCTTGGGGATATGAGCTTATTCTACCACACTCTTGACCATCTGTCTTGTTCATCTATCCCTATGTGGGTAAAAAGACATTGGAAAGTAGGAAGATCCTTCCTGGTTATGGCCGTAGAAAGACAAGTGGGGACTTGGGATGGACACTCACAGCTGAGGTGGAAGCTGGACAGTCTTGGGGGTCAGAAGTTCTGGCTGGCCTCCCAGGGGTCATGTCAGGGCAGCCCTCTGGGGTTCATGGCTGGTCATTCTTGTAGTGGCTGGACATGGCTTCACTAGCTAAGGATTAGAGTTTGGCAGGGTCATCGTGTTTGGCAGCTGAAGCTGTGAGCATGCTGTAGGTGTGGCTGTTGGTGTGTAGTTCTCTTTCTCTAGGACCAAAGGAAAGCACATCTGGGGTTTGGTACCCACCACTAACCTCTCCTTGTCTGTTTTATTTTTCTTCTCTGTGTTCGTTGCTTCCTCCTGTTTTTCAGTGTCTCACTTTCTAAAAGGTAGGTCTGAAACCATACCTCCATGCCTTGCTTCTCTCCCTTCCTGCCGGCAGCACTGGACTGGCTGCTTGCTGTTTTCTGGGCTCTCACAGGCTGGCTTTTGCTCACTGCCTCAATCTGACTTAGATACCATTCATCTGTCTATGTCTGTCTACCTTAGTTGTGTGGTTTGCTGGTGCTTGGCTGGCCCTGTAGCCTTGTCTTTCCAGAGCTGACTCCCTTCTGTCCTGATTTCTTAGAGAAAAAGTGCTTTTGCCCCACCTGCCTCCCTGGCTGGGCACTCTCCCCTCTTTGTAGTGGTGGGAGGGTGTCTTCTGAGAAAAGCCTCACCTTGTTTCTCCCTGTCCTGGACCTCGAACCAGGCTATAAACCTGGCTGAATAGGTGAGATGTCCCCTCCAAGCTTAGTTCTAAAGAAAGCTCTGGAGTCTGAGGTTAGGGTGTGGTCAGGGCCAAGATCGTTGCAGGCTCTGACTCCTCTTGCTCTCACCAGGCAGTTTGTGCACTTAGCTGTCCATGCAGAGAACTTTCACTCAGAGATCGTCAGTGTGAAGGAGATGAGAGATATCTGGTCCTGGGTCCCTGAACGATTCGCCCTCTGCCAGCCTCTCCTGCTCTTCTCCTCATTGCAGCATGGGTACAGCCTGACCAGGTGAGGCCTGAGGAGGCTGCATAGTCCCCCCAGGCACATCCTGCCTGCCATTTTTGGGAAGTGACATGGGTGGCCAGAGATGAGTCTTTGAACCTAGACCCCTGCTTCTTCCTGTGGGGCCTGAGAGCCAGGAGACTGTTCTCTAGGTTTCATTCCCAGGCCACAGGCCACCTAGACTTTGAAGGTCATTGCTGTGCACACTACAGCTTGGTGCCCCATGTAGGCATGGGAGGCAGAGTTTCAACTTCAGGAGCTCACAGAATCGTTAGGGAGAACTACAGGAGGAACTGGCCCTGGCTTCCCTGTACTTCTTACCTCCCATGTTGGTAACAAGCCTGGATGGCCCTCCATAGGGCTATGCCTGTGCTAGCCTCTGGCCAGGTGGCTCTTGACCAGTCATTCATGTGATTTTCCTGCAAGGGTCTCCCAAGGAAGCTTAGACAGATTTACCTGGCATCTAGCAACTCAAGTCTCAGATAGCAGGAAGTCTCAGTTACCCTGGCTTGAATCACAGCAGGGGCGATGGAGACAGAGCTGCCACCCTAGGCCCTTTCTGCAGCCATACAGACATTTTGGCATATCTGGAACCACTTCATCCAGCCCTACCAGGGATGGCAGCCAAGCACTGGCCACCACACTGGCAGCCTTGGGCCTCCCAACATGCCCAGGCTCCTGAGAACATGTTGAGCCTTCCTAGAGGACCTGTTCTTCTGGTTCTTGCTTCCCTGTGGCACCTGGCACTCAGCTCTGCCCTTGGAGGACCATATGTGGTGAAGCCTTTCCCTATCCATACCTGGATAGCCCTGGATGGCCTAGAAGAGCCAGATGAGAAGAACACCTGGTGAGGACATTGCCAGGTCCTAGGGTATGATGGACAAAAGATGGTGGCAGAAGACCATCTAGGTCTCTCTGTCCCCAGCCTAGGCTGAGGGTCAGTGGAGGCTGGCAGGAGGCAGTGAAGAGGGCATCCAGAGTAGCATGTGTGATCTCTGCCCTCAGGTTCTTTTTCCAGTGTGAAGGACACGAACCCACTCTCCTGCTCATCAAGACCACACAGAAGGAGGTGAGGAGGGACTAGAGGGAGCCCTGGGGCCTGGCCTCAAGAGCCCTCTTGAAGTCTGCAGTTCCTTGGGCTGATGCCAAAATCTGAGTGTGAAGGTGGCCCACATGTAGTGCTTGCTTCTGTGTTAGAAAGCCACAGAGGGAGATGAAAATATCCAAAGGCATTCACCTCCATGCCCAGCCTTAACCCATGGTGTGAAAGGAGTGCATCTCCCCAAACTTAACCCTCTCCCACACCCTCTTGCCCATGGTGGTGGTAGGGGCTATGATACACAGCACCCCCAGCTGTGACCTGTGACTCAGGCTCCTCAGCAGGCCTGAACAAGGAAATATTCCTGGGGCATGAAGGTGCGGTTTCATCACAATCTTCCTCCTAGGTGTGTGGAGCTTACCTGTCAACGGACTGGAGTGAGAGAAATAAATTTGGCGCCAAACTGAGCTTCTTTGGGACCGGAGAATGCTTTGTGTTCAGGGTGAGTGGTGCTGAGCTTGGCCCCTCCCCAACTTTGGGCCAGGATTCTCTCTGCCCTTGACCAACACCTGATGGTGTCAAGGGAGCTTGGGAATCAGTAGGCCCTTTGCCCTGGGCACTCTGGCTCCCTTGGCCCTGTTTTATTTTCATTATGTAGTTACCCTGTAGGATAATCTCATTCACTTCTTTTTCTGGTACTGGGGATCGAACTCAGGACCTTGTGTTTGCAAGGCAGGCATGGTGCCACTGAGCTAAATCCCTGACCGTCATTCACTTCTTGTTTTTTGGGAGGTTTTTTTGGGTTTTTTGGTACCGGGGATCCAACTCGGGACCTTGCGCTTGGGAGGCAGGAGGCGGAACCACTGAGCTAAATCCCCAGCCTTATAGCAAATTTTTGAATGTGGCTTTTAGGGGACAGGGTCAGTAGGGTGCTGCATGCCAGTAACTTACACTGCTCAATCACCTTCAGCTGCAGCCCGAGGTGCAGCGTTATGAGTGGGTGGTCATCAAGCACCCGGAGCTGACCAAGCCGGCCTCCTTCATGTCCTCAGAGACCAGCACTCCCTCTCCACTTAGCCACTCTGTCCCCTCAGACCCTGCTGACCGGCTCTCACCGTTCCTGGCTGCTCGGCACTTCAACCTGCCTTCCAAGACTGCGTCCATGTTCATGGCTGGGGGCAGTGACTGCCTCATCATTGGTGGGCACCCTCACCCTCCACATATCCTGGGCCCCACTAGCCCAGGGAGGAGGATAGGGGATTGTGGGTGGCTGAAGCCTCTGTGATGGCAGAGAAAGAGGCCCTGGGTTGTTGTAGGTGGACCAGGATAAGGGCAGAGAGAGGTAGTTTGTGAAGTGGGGGTCAGCCTGTACAACCAGGCCCGGGGCTGTGGTTTATTTAGCAAGGCCATTGCAGGGCAAGAACTGCTAAGATTGCTGATGCTTAAACAGAGACACCTTGAAGGCAGTGCTGATGGGTGTGTGTGTGGGTGGGTGCTGTTGGGCAGAGGAATGGTCACTGACCTGAGCAATCCTGCAGGAGGAGGGGGTGGCCAGGCACTCTACATCGATGGGGACCTGAACCGGGGCCGCACAGGACACTGTGACACTTTCAACAACCAGCCCCTCTGCTCTGAGAACTTCCTTATTGCTGCGGTGGAGGCCTGGGGCTTCCAAGACCCTGACACCCAGTGATGGGCCTGCACTGACGGTGACTGAATTGCTGTTGTGGGGTGGTGGGATTGAGGCCAAGCTACCTCCTGGGGAGCAAGTAGATCCCACATGGGCATCCATGCAGCAGGGCTGCCCTGCCTCATCTGTCTGAGATTGGCCCTCTGCCTTGCTCTTGGGCCTCCTGAGCCTACCTGCTTCTGGGATGGAGCTCAGGGGACTACTGTGCACACCCAGGCCCACCCAGTACATGTGTAGAAGGCACTCTCCTCCCCGCCCAGGGCCATGGCTCTCTGTGAAGGTGCCCTAGGCCCAGGGCCATGAGGATGGGAGCAGGGGATACCTTTTGTTGCAAGAGTCTCCTCAAAGGACCCTTAACCCCTGTGGTAGGGGTGGAAAGGTGAAGGAACTGTCAGCCAAGTGTGGCTCCATGGTGCCCCCTGGTGGTACTTAAGACATTACTCCTCTCCCAAGGCCCCTGCTCTCATCTGAGGGTCTGAGGAGACAGGCACCCCTGCCACTGCTCCCTGTCAAGATCCCTGCACTTGGAGTGTCTCCCCAGCCACTGACTCAGTCCTTCCTCCCCAGAGCTTCCTCTCTAGCAGAAACTTCACTGTAAGGCTCCCCTAGGCCACATTTGCTGCTCCAGGTAGGAGGGGCGAAGGCAAGATGTGTGCTGAGCTCTGTGGCTCCTGGCTACTCCAGGGACAATGAGGGGCCCGTGGGATGGGGACTGGAGGGGATGTCATGTGTCCTTGTGTTTCTGCAGAGCCTGAAGCTTTCTTGGCCTCACTGCAAGTCCGCACCTGAAGAAGTGACTCGAGGGACCAAACCTAGACCAGCCAACTCCATATCCAGGCACCTCCCCAGCTCAGAACCAGCTGGATTCATGGGAGCTTCTCATCCTTCCTCTCTAGCCTGGTGGCCTCCTTGAGCCCATTGCAGTCGCAGCAGTCACCCCTTTCCCTTCCTTGTTACTGCAATGACCAGCTCCAGAGTCACACCCAGATCCCTCAGCATGGCATGCTTGTCTCAGTCCTACCTCCCTCTTCCCTTCTAGGCCCTGCACCTGCTGGATCTTGCCTATGCAGCACCTCTTAGGCCACTGTGCCTGGATGTATGTCCTCCCTCTATCCCTTTTGTGTGTGGTAGTGTGGCTGGTCACATGTCATGGTTTTCTGTGTGCTTCCCCCTCTCCCTTATAGCCTTCAGGCCCCTGGGCCTTGCTGCCTGAGCTCTGCACTACCCTGGTGGCTATAGGTGCTTAGACCTGCCACCCTACAACACCTCCCCACCTGTCCTGTAACCTCCCTCAGCTGGTCCTGAGGCTCTAGGCACCACAAAGGAAAGAGGGGAGAAGCATGACCCAAGTGGCCATTCTGGGGCCTTAGAGACCTAGGTCATATGGACAGGTTTCCATTCCCCTTACGTCTGCCTCTGGCACCTCTGTATCCCCATGGGTCATTTCAGGTCTATCCCCACCTCTATGCTTGGTCTTCTGAGAGGGTGTCATCCTTCCCTGCCCTTTCACTCACATTGTTTCTGAGTGGGGTCAGGAGGTATAGGAGGCAGGATAAGAATCCTGTTTGGCTTTAGGCAAGCTGATAAACCTGCCCTGGGATCACCTTTTCCACTTGTGAAATAGGCCAGTGCTCCAGCCCTGCTCTCCTCATGGATGGGGGACCATATGAGGCCCTCTTGAGAGGTGCAGGGAGGGGCTTTCACCCCCACAGAGCAGTTCAGGCCTTGTTACCTCCTTCCACTGAGCTTCCCCTGTCCATGCCTATACTGTCAACTTTGGTGTTCATTAAACATGGTCTTGTTGCATCAACTCAGGGTTCTGGGTCTGCTCTCTTTTTCAGCCAGAGGAGTCCTAGGGGCTTCCTTGATGCTTGTCCATGCATTGTCACTGGGACATGAAAGCCTTTTGAAAAATGTAATCTTTCAGGAGCAGATGAAGTTAACCCTGAACATTGTTTGTAAGGCTCGGCTCTGCAAATTTCCTGACTGGGTGGGGGTTTTCCTGGCAAGTGAATCCAATAGGATCTGTAGCTGCCCCAAAGGGCTCTACTCAGCCTTCACCCTTCCCATGGATCCAGCAAGAAGACTAGTTGCCACCTTGTTGTGATTTCTTCATCTTAAGCAAAGTTCTTCAGTTGTGTGTACATATAAAATATTCAGTTTCTTTAGATTTAATATCTTTTTCTGACTTTCCTACCAAAAGGTTTGTGATTATTATCTTTTATTTTTAAGTTGTCTGTTTTCTTATTCTTATCACTATTCTTCTTTGATACTAAGTATCCCCAAATATAATTTACTTACCTTTTTTTTTGGATACCGGGGATCGAACTCGGGTCTTTGCGCTTGCGCAGCAGGCGGCGAAACCACTGAGCTAAATCCCCAGCCCTATTTACCTTCTTTTTGAGAAAGAACCTCACTGTGTAGTTCAGATTGGCCTTGAACTTGCTATGTAGCTCCTCAAACTCATGGAGATCCTCCTTCCTCAGCCTCCTGAACGTTGGGTTTACAGGCATGTGCCACCACTCTGGCTTTATCTTCTATTGAATATTTATGGCTTTTATTTTTTGTTGTTTTTTTGTCTATGGCCATACCACCCTGAACACACCCAATCTTGTCTGTTGTTTTTTTGGAGATAATACCTCACTGTACAACCCAGACTAGTCTCCAACTTGTGATCCACCTGCCTCATGCCTACGTCTATTAGCTTTTGATGTTAACCCAAAATTTGATGAATAATTACCATTTTAAAAGAAATAGGTAAACATTTACTTTAAAATATTGAACCTAATTTTTTTTTGTACCGGGAATTGAACTCAGGGCCTTACACTTGCCAGGCAGGCACTGTACTGCTGAGGTACATCACCAGCCCTGAACTTAGGGGTTTTTTTTTTTTGGTACCAGGAATCAAACTCAGGACCTTGTGCTTGTGAAGCAGACGTGCCACTGACCTAAATCCCTGGCCCTGAACCTAATTTAAATCCGTTTATTAAGTGCATTTGTTATAGGCATCATATGTCTTTAGGGCTTCTGAAAAATTGGTATTTTATTTCTTTTTGTTTGTTTTATTTTTTGAGACAGGGTCATACTATATTCTGGCTGGTCGTGAACTCACTAATCCATGCTGGCTATGAACTTGTGTTGGTCCTCCTGCTTCAGCCTCCCACTGCTGGGTTTACAGCTATGTGCCTCCATGCCAGACCAAAATCAGTATTTTAAAAATATATAAGCTGGGCATGGTGGTATATACCTGTTATCCTTGCACTCAGGAGGCTGAGGCAGAATGATTGTGAGTTTGGGGCCAGCCTGACTACATAGTGAGTAACCTGAGCTGGCATGAGTAACATAGCAAAAGTCATGTTTTAGGGCCAGGGATTTAGCTCAGTGGTTCCAGCGCCTGCCTTGAAAGCTCAAGGTCCAGAGTTCGATCCCCGGTACCCCCCCCCCCCAAAAGTCATGTTTTTAAAAAAACTCCCTGGGTGGGTGTGGTGGCACACACCTTGGAAGGCTGAGGCAGGATTTCTGGGAGTTTGAGGTCCAGCCAGGGATACATAGTGAGACCCTGTCTCAAAAAAAAAAAAAAAA